ATTAATTAATTAATTAATTAATTAATTAATTAATTAATTAATTAATTAATTAATTAATTAATTAATAACAAAGGTAAGGAGTAAAACATTTACCTGTCTTTGTTTTGAACTAAACTTTAAGCTAAATTGAGTCACAAGCATCACATCTGCACATGGATCCTGCTCCTTCCTGTCTGTTGACCAATAGGAGAGGAGCTGACCCAAGAAGCTCCGCCCACATTATTTACACAATGAGGCAGAAATGCACAAGGTAAAGACAGGAGACAGAGAAATGTCAATAAGTATTATCATTTATTAAAAAAGACATAAATGCAATATATATATAAAAACAGTAAAATGTAAATTATGTGCTAAAATATATAATTTCTTGTAATTAAGCTGGAAAAATAAATATGAAGGTCAATAAAATGATAAAACATGAAGTAAAGTTCTTTTTTTATTTAATTGGTGCATTTTAAAAGTATTTAATTATTGATCCATTTCTATATTTCTGCTTTTATTTCTAATTATGACATTTTGGGTTCTGCACAGCTGACTGGGACAAACGGGTACGAGAAACTGCTCGAAAAAACAAAACAAAAAAACCCACAAAAAGTCCTGCAGCGTCCTCGCTCCGGTTCTACCTGCCTGCAGATATGCGAGGTTAACACTAGCAGTCGGGTCGATACTGTAGCACCCAGAGTCCAGGACATCAGCAGAGACGATGTGTGAAACCAAGGCTCGTCATTAAAACCTCCTATTTTAGACAACCACAGTAATCCTCCTGACTGTTACACAACAGTGTTTATTTTAAGGTTTAAATACCATCCWGAGGTATTTGACTGCAGGAAGTCACTTACATGTGAAGTACATAGTAAAAACATGCAACAGAAGCACAAATAAATAAATAAATATAAGTTTAACGCTGCAGAAAGAAGACATTGATCAGAATAAAACGACTGTCGGTGTAGATGGGATTAAAAAGTGCTGATAACTTGATCACACGTTGTTTAATGAGTTGTTGTGACGCGCTGATGATTCATTGTGTTCCTGCCAGGCGGGATTAAACCTAATCTGTCTACAGCGCAGACCCGGTTCACCTCGCCCCCCCCGGTTCTCCTTACCGTCGGCTCGGCTGTCCACGTCGCTGGATGCCATCATGGTGGGTCKGGTGGAGCTGGCGGGCGGCTGGGTGTCGTCTCTCCCAGCTTTACGGATCCTGGCGTGGAGACGGGGGAGGGTTCGGCGTGGACGTCTGCGCCTGGGGGGGGGGACAGAGTCCGGTGTCAGCATGCGGCACCAGAACGGGCTCGTAAAGATCCAACTKTTAAACTCTCAGAACATCTTTAAGAGCCTCTGAGGTTTATGTGTAACTTACAAGAAAAGCATAAAAACCCTGAGCCTGGCAGCAGACGTGGTTTCAGTTTCAATAAGAAAACAGCAACAWGCAGAGTTGTAAAGTAACTAAGTACAAATACTTTGTTACTGTACTTAAGTAGAAATTTTGGTTATCTGTACTTTACTTGAGTACTTATTTTTCAACGTACTTTTTACTTTTACTCATTACATTTTTACACAATTATCTGTACTTTCTACTCACTACATTTTTTAAAAAGGTAAGAAGTAGAAAGTCGTTACTCCTATTTTATTTTGAGTTGTTATTACTTAAAAAAATACTATCCTGCAGTGTTGTATAAAGTACCACAAAGTGATACTCGAGTAAATGTACAAGTATCTTAC